TTCCCAAAGAGGTGAAGTTGCCACCACCAGTGCTAAAACGGCTGCTCTGTGCATCACACCTGAATTATCTCCCTGTGCTGTCCCCTTGTTTCACTCGAAGGTCTCAGTGTCTCACCTGGGCACTGTGCGGTTCCTGGTTTCTTCCTTCTGACAGAAACATGCAATCAGCTCTTTGCTTCTGGGTGGCCACGTGCCCCTCACAGGAGCTAAAACAAAGAAAGAAACAGACAAACCCCAGCCTTTTCTGTCTTTACAAAAGGAGCCCAGAAGCCATTCTTCATAGAATCATAGACTGGTTTGGGTTGGAAGAGACCTTAAAGCTCATCCAGTCCCAACCCCCCTGCCAGCAGCAGGGACACCTTCCACTAGACCAGGTTGCTCAAAGCCTCATCCAGCCTGGCCTTCAACACTTCCAGGGAGGAGCAGCCACAGCTTCTCTGGACAACCTGGGCCAGAGGGAAGAATTTCTTCCTAATATCTAATCTAAACCTCCCCTCTTCCAGTTTAAAGCCATTACTCCTCATCCTGCCCTTGTCCAAACTCCCTGCCCAGCCTTCCTGGAGCCCCTTCAGGTACTAGAAGGATGCTAGAAGGTCTCCCTGGAGCCTTCTCTTCTCCAGGCTGAACAGCCCCAACTCTCTCAGCCTGTCCTCGTAGGAGAGGTGCTCCAGCCCTCGGATCATCCTTGTGGCTTCCTCTTCCCCCTGTTAAGTCCAGCTCACCACAGACCCCATTAGCGTGGGAACTGCATGACAGTTCCTCAAAGCCGTGCCTTCAGCTGAAGGACAGATACAGTCAGTACACTCTTGGGGACAAGACTGAAAGGAAGGTGCTGTGATCCTTCCCCTCCAGCCTGGGTGATATGAGGATTTGGCTCCCGCTCCTCTCACACCCATTTGTGCCTCTTCTCTCCTCACAGGTCCAAGCCGTCGTTTTAAGAGGGTAGTAGAAACCATTCAGGCACAGTTGTTAAGCACACATGACCAGCCTTCAGTGCAGCAGTTATCAGGTAAGTAGTTTCTACTTTTGAGCACCTTGCTTCAGCAGGGCCAGGAAGGTGAAGTGCCTCTCAGTACCAGGAGGCTGAGGGAGGCCATCCCTCTGATTACAGTGAGAAACGAGCTCTATTCAGACAGAGCAGTAACACCCCGCACCCACCCTACTCCTCCCTCTCTCATTCCCACTCCAGTGCTCCCAGTGCATTCCCCAGTTGAACAGCTTCTGCCCTCCTCCCGCCCAAAGAGCCATTTGCCTGCTTCTCCATCAAAAGCTGCATCATCAATAGATCTTCCAGATTTTCTCCAGCTCCAAAATCTCCCAGAATAGGGACATGCTGTAGAAGACACCTGATTTTCCAGCCCTTCAGACGTGCTTTAGAAACATCCAACTTCAGAGGGTCCCAGGACAAAGCCAAGAGCTACTTCTGACTTAGAGATTAACAGCAGTGTTTTCAGATGGTCAGACAGTGGCTAATAGTTTCCAGTAGTGTGGTCAGATTCTTGGCCCAATACTGTGGTAGCACCAATCGTATCCTAAGGTTCTGCAGAAGCTGTATTTTATCTATTTTTAAAGTAGATTTCAGTTCCTCATGGTGGTAAAGAAAGCCTTACGTGTGTGTCCCTGTGCAGTGACATCAATCTGTATCTGCAGGCACTGGTAATACAGTCCCATTATGTAGCACATGTTCACTCTGAACCCTAGTGGTGACACACACACAAAAAAATACCAGTCTTAACTCTTCTGTCCTTTAAAAGGACAGAACAAAGGGAAGAAGGTGAAAACTGAAAATTGAAGGAAGCTTAGCTATTGGAAGTGCTTCAAGGAAGGAAAAATGGGGAGAAGCAGAAAGAATGTACAGATATAGGGAAGAAATAGGAGCAAGGCAGAGAGCAGAGGCTGCAGGGAGAAGACAAAGAGGCAGGAGTGGGAAGAATTTTCCCCTTGTCTGAGGATGAGAAGGTATTAACTAAATATTATACATAAAAGCTAAATTCTGTGCTTGACCTTTGTGTGAACCAGCCAAGACAAAAGTGGAGGAATGAAGTCAGCCCGCAGTTAAATCCCAGATCTCCTTGGCTCATTGCACATGCGGGTTACATCCCTCTGGTCTAACAGTGTGGCTTTAACAGCTGAAGATAAAATAACTCCATCTAGAAGCGTGTATGCTCACTATGTGACAGAGAAGTGTGCTCAGTTCAGGAAATACTGTTTTCCACTTTGCTTTTGCCCTCCAGCATTGCCTGGCCTTCTGCACGCTGGACTGCAAGGGTGCCCAGCGCATGGGCTGTTCTGTTAGGAAACAGGAAAGGTGAGGATACTAGAACTGGGGTTGATTCAGGTTTTTTTTTACTGTCTGGACTTTTGAAATGAAATCAAACTCAAGGAAGCAGCCAGAATTTTCTTCCAGCCCTTCCTCTTGGGAAATGCTGGGGCCAAGTGGGAGTGAGGGGAATTAGATAGAAAAGCATCCTTTGAGTCTAGTTCGTATTACCCCTGATGCATGAACAATATTCAAGCATTCCTTGTTTCTTAGAGAAAGAAGTGTACCCTTACCTTCTGGTGAGGAAAAATTGTTAAAAAATAAATAACACGATGATCTCTCTCTTAACTTCTTCACCTTAGTATGTGCTAGCTACTGAAGCTCTCTAGAAAGACTTGGATGCTGTTGCATACTTGCATGTGAATCAGGCTGTCTCCCTAAGAAAGTCGTATTAGAGCAGAAATAAAAACCATTCATCTGACTAAGGCTCAGGGAGATGTTTGGGGCAAACTGTGCTGTGAAAAATATATCTGACTTAGAGTTTTGCTCTGGCTCTGGAATGGACAAATCATATTACAGACACAGAATCTCGTTCTGCTGCCTAAAGCTACGTGAGAGCATGTCATTCTAGCAGGGAAAACCCTGCCTGATCTTTAACGCCAGAGTGGAATGGGTAACTCCACATGGAGCAAAACCAAAATGAATGGTCTCTTTAAGAGACTTAAAAATGAGAATTCCCTCAGCCAGGGAGTTACCCAGGCAAGACAGTTCATGAGAGACAGAGTTCCAGACTATCCTGTATCATATCCTGATCAGGAATATGCAAGTCTCTCGAAAAATAAATAAGTAATTCAACCTGAAAAATTTAGATGGGAGCAGAGCACAAGGAAAAGAGAAAAGGAAGGGGGGGAAAAAATGATTGTTACCAAGAAGAGACAACCTGTGCATCAGAGTAAGGAGGCCCTGTGGTTCACATCCCCAGGCAGTGAGAGGGTAAGGGGAAATAAAGGGATGAAGAGTCAGCAGGAGTTCACATTCAGCCCCTTGTTTAGCTGGGTGGCTGTGGTTGGGAAGATGCGTGCAAGAGCTTCCTAGAAATTGCCATGGAATTACTCAGCATTTCTTACTAGAAACAAGGCAGATTCTTCTCTGTTTCTATTCTTCTCCCATATTCCCAGCCCTGAACACTTCACAGTAGTTGTGGTGGCTGGACTCCTATTCAGGTTGATGGTTTGAGGACACTCTGTAGACAGGCCAGCACTGCAGCAGAATGAGCTCACACTTCACTTTGACTCTCCTCTTGCACGGCCCTGAGGGTACTGCTGGCTCTGACCAGCAATACTGGCCCAGCACTGGAGATTTTCCTGGCTCGTTGTGTGCAGACATATCCTCTGTACAATTGCCTCCCCTGCCTTTTAGTTCAGATGCCATGACAGGTGGGGTGATGAAACCCACCTGTGGAAGGTGCATGCATGTAAAGTGAGACCTGCAGAAGGGGAAGGTTGACTGAACACAGTATGAAGCAGAACAGGAGGAGCTAATAAGCGTATGGCAGCGGTAGTCCTTCCTCTCCTGCCCTCTCTGATCTGTTGTGCAGCATGCCAGCCCACTAAGCCGGCTTGCCTGGGTTTCAGAACGCACTTTCCTCTTTCTCATTTCCTCCAGCTCACAACAGTGTTTGTAGATGTCGTTCTGCCCATGCATCTGTGTGTGTGTGTGTGTGTGTTTGTGAGCCTGATATGTACCTGATTTAGGCAGATGTGTTTCTGTGTCACACTTGAGCACCTTATAATCTCTTTTCCCCCTGGATATCCCTCCATTCACTTCCATTTTTCCTTCCTGAGACTGGGTGTGCTTATTTCTTCTGACATACTCTGAAGCAGGAAAATAGCTTCCCTCCCTTACCTGAATAAGTGTGTAAATAAATGAAATCTATCCCAAAAGCTAATGTAATACTTCCAAAATCCACTGTCCAGTTGGCCAAATGTAGTGCAACATATCAGCCTTCATGTTTCAGGACATGAAATCCTCCGTGGTACAACTGCTGAGACAATACCAGGTCTACAGACTCATGACTGGCATAGAACAAGTAGATGGGGATTGATTGCTCATTTTTTCTTCCCAATGAAAGAACTAGAGGCCATTGTATGAAACTAGTGGAAGTCACGTACCACAGAAATATTGGAAGGTGTGTCTCCATGTCATGTAAGACCTGTGGAACTCCTCGCTGAAGCAGGTTCTGAACACTAGGAGCTTGCAGACACTCATCTTTCCCTGAGTACTTCTTGCTCACAGGGAGGTTGGATGACTCCCTGGAAGAGAAATCTTCATGAGGATTGCTAGACAGAGAAACCGCAGCAGGCTCAGGAGATCTCTGACCTAAAAGTGGTGAGAGAGTGAGGCAGTGTTAGGAGGAAGCGTTCTGTACGCCTGGCTTGCTCTTGGTTACACTCCTGCATATCCATGTGTGGCTGCTGGTGGAGACAGAGCACGAATGGTTTGGGCCTTTGATCTGAACCAGAATATCCATGTGTTCTTGTTACTGGTATCACAAAATCCATTCAGCTTAGCGAGGCCATGAAAGGACAGTCCCTTTTGGATCAAGAATGGGGATCGCTGTCTTATGAGAGCTGCTGCCCTTGTCTGTCATCCATGTATGGCTCCATCCAGGAGCCTTATACTCAGAATCTCTCCGTAGGTATCCCTGGGCAGGACTTCCCTTTGGTAGGTTAAAAGCATCTCTCTCCGTGGAAGAAAATATCTCAGATTTGTGCCTTTGTTTCAGCTCAGTACTCTTTCTATTAAATCATAAGCTGTTTTCCTCCAATGCCTTTGCACAAAAGAGTAGTAGAAACAGCTGGTGGATAGGGACATGCAGAAGCCATCTGTGATCATTCACAGGGTATCCATTTTTATTTCCCTAATATTTTCTTGCCTCTTTGGGCTTTGTTTTTAGGTGTGGGGTGCTTCATATTCTTATTTTTTCCCATTTCTCCATGTTCTGGGCAATCAGCAATACTGAAATAGCCTTTTTAACTTCTTTGTAGCTGGTTTTCTGTTTCTTTATTATATTTATTGGCTTCATGTCAGATTTTAAACATTTTAACCATTTTAGCATCTCAAAGTTCAGAGCATCTCAATGTTACTGCTGGAAATACCTTTCATCAGTATAAAGAAGTGTTTTGAGACCACATCCAGCTTCAAAACAGGGCAGTGCAAGTTCTTACTCGTTGTGTATGTCTTCTCTATATGCACTCAAGCTCTCTTCTTGCGCTGGTGTACAGCTCAAAAACCAAAACACATTTATGTGACTTAAAAAGCTTTCCTAGAGCACTGATCTGTGAATTCTGAGTGTTCACTTTTGTGGCTCACAAAAACTGTAGGTTGGTTAATTTGCTACAAAAAATTAGTAACTTAGGGGTTCCAAATATGCGAAGGATTTTATCATCAAGACAGAAAAGGGAGTGAGGAGCAGATGAATCGCTTTTCAAAGTAAACTTCGAGCTGCAGATTCAAACCAGGGTTATACAAATGCCAGTTTGGAATTGGACTGCAAGTCAGTTTTATCCAGGGCTCCTCCAGGTCTCAGGTTTATCTTGTTTCCTGCGTTCTTGTGTGATCCTTTATATCTTACTGCTCTTGTAGTGTCTGGGGCGATCACATCATCTTGCTGTCAGGGTTCCCACCTACCAAAGGTGCCGTGTAATGCCTGGGTAGATTGGCAGAGCACTGGGGTTTTTTTTTTTGCTAAACAGCTTTATCATAGAATCACAGAATGGTTTGGGTTGGAAGGGACCTTAAAGATCATCCAGTCCCAACCCCCCTGCCAGCAGCAGGGACACCTTCCACTAGACCAGGTTGCTCAAAGCCTCATCCAGCCTGGCCTTCAACACTTCCAGGGAGGAGCAGCCACAGCTTCTCTGGGCAACCTGTTCCAGTGTCTGACCACCCTCACAGTGAAGAACTTCTTCCTAATATCTCAGCTAAACCTCCCCTCTTTCAGCTTAAACCCATTTCACCTTGTTTTGTAATGGAATGCCCTTATAAAAAGTCCCTCCCCAGCTTTTTTGTAGCCCCTTCAGGTACTGGGAGGCTGCTACAGGATTATTACTGAGCAGACCTCATGAAAATTAACTGAGTAGTCCTGAAATAAAGCATGTAGAAAAAAGTCCAAGCTCTCCAGTTTTGCTAGGAGAACATTGTGTTTCAAATAAGCACCCAAACACTTATGAATTCCAGTTGAAATTATAACTGTCTTGGATCAGAGGAGCTGGTGGCTCCCTTGAGATCATCTCCCTTAATGGAAATGTTTACTGGGGACTGTGAGCATCTGGCAGGAGATGTTCAGTGCTCTTTGGGATCTAGCCCTGGATTTGGAGGAGCAGCTGTTTGGGTGAGATTTCCTGAGCTGAGACAAGTCTCAGTCTTATTGATACCAGAAGCATCAGAAACCGGGCGGCTTGCTTGTGAAATTTATGTAGGATAGAAACACAGAAACTAAAGAAAAAAGAAAATCAGGAAAGAAAATTCAGTAGAATGCTAGCACTTCTAATGGATTTGGTGCTTGTTTGGCCTTTTGAAGGAAGGTCTTACTTTAACTGAAGCATTTGCCATCTGTTAATGAACTGAACTCGGTGTCATATATGAAAGAGTCTTGGTCAAATCCAAAGCGTGGGTGAGTGCCAGCAATCTCTGTGAAATAAGGAATTGCCTTATCATCAGAAGGACTGAGATCTGACACTGCCACTATGCTTTAATTAAAAAAATTAAGCATCACACATTAAAAATGCAGTTACATGACCCATTGATTCTTCTCAGACAGCTAAAGGCCTTTGGACCCTGGCTTTATTCACCTCACATAACACCTGGATCCTGCAGTCACTGGGTTATGGATTATTATCCATGAGCAGAAACTGACTGCCAAGAATCTAAGGCTTTCTAATTAGAATGAAAATTCTACTTTAAAATGATGAAATACTTTATCATTTAGAGTACTTACTAAAGCAGATGTTACAATATGATGGAAATGAAAGAAGTATTAAAGTAATTATTATAACAGAGAAGCTGAAGGCGTATTAACTCTCTTCATCTTTCAAGAGATGTGGTATGAGCTACTGTTTCTGGTGTGCTCATGTTTGCTGTGCCTTAGGAATGGGGAAAAACCAACTTGATGGTGTCTTGGAAAGACATAAAAAATAAAAATAAATTCCTTTGTAGTTCCTGGGCCTGGCCATGGCAATAAAGAGAATGTAAATTATAGGTGTGCATAAAAGTTTTAAGAAAAACAAAAGTAGAGGGTTTATTAGTGTTCCTTTGATATTTTTCCATGGTCTTAGATTTCAAAAAAGGCTTTGTGTTTTTCCTTACCCATGAAAATGAATTCTATAACCTGCAAATTTAGTTCTTTAGGAACAAAATGGGGTACAGAGCCCGAGATGCTGTGCTGTCGAAAAGCCTGTGTGACAATCCTTTTTCCCTGTTGGAGATCTGTCAGTTTGTGTTCTAATCACATGATTAATGTATGTAGCCCTGTTCCATAATTAGCTTTAAAGGAAATACTAAAAAAGAGCTACGCTGACTGCAAGTGCCTTAGAAAAAAGACAGTATTCTAAACTATTAACCTGAGGAGACGTGATGATTTTTAATTTGTTAAAATTAACAAGGAAACAGAAATATCAGTTTCAGGAGAATCTTAGTAAACCAGCCACAATGTTTACCTCCTCTGACCTTATCCAAATACTACATTTTTTTGTTTCCAGACTTGTGTGGCCAGTCAGTCTGGATAGACTTAAAGGGAAAATTCCAGGTGTTGGAGGTGGGAGTCAGAAACAATCTTTCAGTCATAGTTGAGACTTTCCTTTCTCTTATGTGCTTCTTCAGAGCATAAGTTCTGCTCACGATTGGGTGAATGCTCTCAGCCCTACTGTAGATCTCTGTTACTCTACATTACAACAAGGTGTAGGTGACTCAGAGGGGGCTCGACAGGAACCACTAAAAAGCATGAGACAGCAAACTTCTCCAAGTTATTAAAGAAAAAAAAATGATACAAACTCATGGCTGTGACTTCTGGTTGTTGGCTCAATCAGCAGCTGTAAGCACTTCCCCTGTTAGGCATCGTCAGGGAGAAATGTATTTTGGGAGCTTAATCTGCCTTCACTCAGTCAGACAAGCCAAAGAATTTCAAAGGCAGGGAAACTCCTGGCCTCTCTGACACCTCTGATACCTTGTTCCAGTGCTTGAATTCTCTCTTCTCCTTCACCTCCTTCCTTTTTCCCCTTTCTCTTTCTCTCAGTCTTGTTCCTTTCTGAGAGACCTTCCATGAGTATCATCTCACATTGACTTCTGCCAGCCCTCCTCTAACCGTGGGGGTGGAGAGCAGATAGCTGCTGCTTCAATGCTTTGACCAGTGCCACTGGACCAAGCACCCACCCTCTCTGCTCCGTGCTTTCCCAGATTATCTATGCCTGCATCGGAAAACATACATATCCATGCTCTTCTAGCATGGGTTCAGCTTACCCAAGCATATCCAGCACCCCTTCCTCCTTTTCTGAAATTACTTTTCTTGGTATTTAAGGAGAGGAAAGCTGAGAAATTATCCTGCCCTATCTCCTGCAGGTTTTTCAGCAGATGGGGAGCAGTTAGATCTTCCGAGCAGTTAGGATTTCTCAGGATATGTGTGCCTGTTTCCAAGAAGCCGATTTCTTGAATACCTGAGTGTTGTTCATTGAGAGGCCAGGCAAGAGGAGATCTGAGACTGAGCTGAGTGCTTTAACTGTCAGCCACTTGCTCGGCAGCAGGTGGGTGCTCCACAGTGCCCAGCACTCATGGATGCACCAATTTTGATCCCAAATGCAAGGGAATCCTGGTGAACAGCAGCAGATCTGGCTTGCCAGCAGGTTCCATGTAGAAGTGTGCAGCAGGGCTGGTCCTTTCTGCTTTAAGGCTGACATGTAGAGCTATTTCTGCTTGTTGCACCTGAGTAAGAAGCACTCAGAGGCGGTGGCAATGGGAGCTGTACACAAAGTGGACAGTAATCATAGAATCATAGAATCATAGAATCATAGAATAGATTGGGTTGGAAAAGACCTCCAAGATCATCAAGTCCAACCCAATTGCCTGTGAATAGAGCAAGAGGAGTAAGAGACTACACATGAATGAGAGAGGCAGAGTTATGCTGAGGACTTGGACATTATCCTCTGGGGTCTAAAAGATGTTTTTGAGTCATGTAAGTCTCCTTCTCAGTCCATGTCCAAGAGCACAGCGCTGCATCTCCTCCCTCTCTCCAGGTTTTTGCTGTACCCAGATCACTGGCTGGGCATTTCCTGGCTGTTGCAGGCTCCCTTGCAAAGCTGTCTGGGTGAAACAACATATTCAAGGCTTTTAGTTTGCTAATGTGGTGGCAGAATATTCCCCACACCTCCTCAGTACCGATAGCTATGATAAAGAGGTGAGTGGAAGCAGCGGCACTGAGGCAGCGGCCGCTCCCAGTCGCAGGGCCAGGTTTGCACTGGCATACAGTGGGTGGTGGAATTTGGCCTGGGTTGTGTAAAGACCAAGATGCGTGTATGTTTCCTGCTTCAGGTAATAATGTGCTAAGTTAACTACTTTATGCACAGAGGTATGGAAACCTTTTTTTTATGTTTTTCCCTCCCTCCCTCCTCTTTCCGTTCTATGCTCCAGACACCACTAACTGTATGGAGTTGATGACTGGCAGACTTTCCAAATGTGGTAAGAACTTCCTTCCCTTCTGCCTTTTCTCCTTCCCCAGCCCCTGCTGAGCAACATAATAACGCGCCGTCCTGTCCCTTCCACCTGTTCCCCTTCCCTATCCCTGCTCTTCAAGACTCCCCACCCCGTAACAGCCCTCTCTGTCCTTCACTTACCCGGTGGACACAAGCACATGCCCCTGATTCTGCTCCTCCCCATCCATGCACAGATGCATAGGCTCCACCACGGCTTTCCCCTCATAGCACAAGTGTGTGGTGTTGCACTTGAGATTCCCACCCTCACTGTAACCCAGGCCAGTGATTTTCTTTTTCTTTCTTGGTTTGTTTTTTTTTTCCCTCTTTTGTTTACTTGCTGCCTTTGATTCATGATTCTTCAGTCCCTTTTCTGCCGTGAAGCTGAATGCTGCCCTGCTAGCTGCTGTCTCCCTTGGTTTCCTGCTATGTATTGAGACAGGATTGCTATGTTATTTAATTCCCTCTTGCATCCACTCCCTTCTTCCCCAGATATCCTTGGGGTAAGACCCTTTCAAATCTTCTAGAAGACACACTGCCTGTTATGTCTCAGGCACTTAGCTAGTGTAAATTGGCATAGTTCCAGTCTGGTCTTGGGGAAAGATGTTGCATCTTTAGTTGGAGGAGTAGTCAGTCGCCCTACTGGAGATTCAGAATTTTCCTAGGAATGAGGGTAAAAAAAAAAAAGAGTTTCCTGCAAAACTTGCAGCTCAGTTTGCCTGGGATTCCAGGGGTTTTGGTTAACTTGTCCCTTGCCTTCCTTCCCCTCTATTCACACGCAGACAGCTTTTTCCTTTCATCACCTGTGCCCCTACTGACTCCTCCAAATACAATAGTGGAAATACCCAAATACTCTAAGAGAGGTTTTTGTCTAATTACTTATATCTTGTACAGAAAGGTTCTGTACAAGAGAACTCTGTTCTCTTTAGATTTCTATGCTGGTATCTGGGTTGAATTGAGATATCTCTGTGAAAGGCAACACAAGCTGTTGAGGAAATAATCACTAAGCTAGGACCGCTCTCCAGGTGGACCTGTGACAACTCCTGTGTCATCTCTTCTTAAAATCTTCTGAATTTGTTGTGGAGTCAGTAACAACAAAGGAAAATTATCACCGTGGAGATAATATTAGGTTTATATGTGTGTGACTGAGGCAGAATTTGGCCCATTTCCTGATCTCTTTCCTTTAAGCTGCAGCTTTGCTGGTGGGAGTTTTTCCTTAGGAGCTCATTTGATTTCTTATGTGAGTTTTCTGGGTTATACCATTTCTGATCTCCTCATGAAAACTCATTTAAGTTGCAGGCAGACCTCCAGCTTCTTTCTGAAGGCATCAGACAGCAAATCCCTCTTCTCCCTCAAGCCTTTGTTTCTTGCCTGGATCTGGCATTCCACATCATACAAAAATATTGAAATGCTGATTCTACTGATTGCTTACAAGTTAATTGAGCTACACAGATAACCAGCCAGGACTCGGCGTTCCCTAGATAAGAAAGCACTACTGCTCACTCCCAATTCGGGCAGGACTTCCAGCTGCCACAGTGTCAGCATCAGTCCAACAAGGGACAAAGAGGACAAGGTGAAAGCCAGCAGGGAGACTAGTTTGTGGCAGCTACAGCACAGACAGAACACGTACATATATCCAGAGAAGAGAAAGGACGGGTTATAGGGGTTTAACCTGTGGAGCTACTTCCTTTAAATCATATTCCTGGTGGTGTGCTAACACACCACATAAGCAGCGGTGGGTGCTCCATGCTGAATTCCACCCTCCCATATGAGTGAAGAGCTATTTCATGTGCAGGAGAGATCACCCACAATTTAGACAGGGAGGCAAAAGGGAACGATGCAGCATTTAGCCTATTAGTGGCAAATTGTCCTCTGTGACTTTGAGAACAGGGAACCCTCTGTGAAGTTGACACAATATTTATGTAGTAACAACAGATATTGTAAGAAAAACTGTTCTGTGTGGGTTTTTGACCTCATCATTGTTCCATATTCTAAGAGTGAGCACAGGGGGTCATTTTTTAAGAGGTAACACTGGAACAGGAAGAGCTAATCAGATGCTTTATGCCTGGCTCAGGCATCTGAAAGCTCTGGTGGGAATGAGGAATATCTTTTCACCCACTAGAACTCATTGAATGTTGTCCTTATCAGCAAGGCAAATTTATTTAATCCTTTAAATGTTATCTCATCTTCCGCTAGCAGTGGTCATCAGTCTGAGAAGTGATTTTGCATATAGCCATTGGCATTAAAAAACAAGTTAATATTGAACAGCAGAAGTATGTCATAGGAGCTGCCCATGTCCAAATGACATAATGGCTGCTGTATCAACCCTACCTGTGCACACCAGGAAACTGCTGCCAACTCTTAAGATTTCACAACAGAAGATAATAATTTGGCTCATAACAAAGTTGAAATGCACATTGGAGTGGAATATTTTATTTTACGTTTCCACCCATTTCAGCAGGGGAATGGGCATTTCTGCTGTCAGAAAGACAAAACTGGTTTCCGTGAAGTCTTTCTTGTCTGTTCATAAGATTCAATTTACCTTGTAAAAATGAAAACCTTTACATTTAAAATGCAGCTGTAACCTGAAAGCTGCCTATAGGAGTGATACCTTCCGACTTACTTAGCTGATCTATTCCTTCTGTGTATATAGAGCCAAATCAGTTTAGTGACAAATAAGCTTTACCACTTTACATGCTGCTGTTAAGCCTTATAAAATCAATGCAGCTGTAAAAGAATGAGCTGGATTCTGTTTCTTTTGAGGCAGGATTGAGAGAACTGTTTACTACCATCTAATCTGGTATTTATGTCTATCTCACTGAAGAATAGGTTGTATAATTGACAATGAGTTTCTAATAGATTCTGCAGAGCCTTTACATAAAAAAACCCCAAAACATCAATATAATACACAAACTAGAAAGCTCTCCAGCTTGAACCACAAAGCTGGGAATTAGAAAGCAAGTGTCATCGTAGATTGAGTACATTGGAGCTGGAGCCATTGATATACACCACCCAGAAGCCCACAATGCCGTTTCAGGAGTCCTTGTTCAGAAAAGAGTCTGTCTTTACAAACTTTAATGACTTTAAGTCCTTTAAATAGTGAGCTGAGAATTTCTTTGGGTGGTTGACTCAGTAGTAAAGCTGGTGTCTAGCCTTTGATAGGTCCCCTTCCTAACTATCCCCAGTTTTTTGGAGTCCTTAGTAAGTTTTGCCAAGGTGCTGGCTGCTGGCAGAAAGCTCTGGAAGACCTGCCTTATTCTCTGCCTTCTGAGAAACACTTACCAGGGAGCCTGTGAACTTTCCAGTCTCCACACTGTAGCTGTCGGGGGCTGAATTTTATTTCCAAGTAAGGCGATCTTTGCTTGTTGCTTTCCATCCCTCATGACTCTCAGGAAAGTCTTCAGTTACATCAGTGGCACTTCCATGGAACTAGGTGACGATAAGAGGAGGAAGAGGTTGGTATGTGTAACTAGTGCAGCCCCAGTCACGTTATGCTATCATGTTAGGCACCGTACAGCCATATGTTCCTGCAAAGTCTTAGACCATAACCCTGTGACAGCAGGCTGGCCAGAAGACCTTGTGTTTATTCTTAAACATCCACTTAACATTCAAAACCTTGATTCCTGGCACCAGAGTTAAACAAAAAGCTTTACAGATCCTTGTGTGCACCAGCAGCTATCACCAAAGTGATCTAATCAAAGCAGAAACACAGCAAATCCACTTGCCTTTCCTATCTTTCCAATGTATCTCACTCAAATCTCCTGCTTCCAGTGTTTAGGACTTGACACAACTTCCTATTGAGAGCCATCTGACCTTGTCCCCCCACAGCCAGTCATCCTCCGTGGACATGGTGCAGTTGCACAGGCAACTGTTTCTCTTCACAGCTCCTTGGAATCACAGTTTGATCCATACAGACACAAGCCCATGTCAATAGCATCCCAAGCTACTTGAGAAATTAGGTGACATTGTGTAGTTCAAAACTGTTTACGTCACATTTGGGTTGCAGTTGCAGCATGCAGCGTTGTGAGTGCTCATTTACAGACTGTTGGTGTTACTAGCAGGAGCAAATCATAGAATGGTTTGGGTTGGAAGGGACCTTAAAGCTCATCCAGTCCCAACCCCCCTGCCAGCAGCAGGGACCCCTTCCACTAGACCAGGGTGCTCAAAGCCTCATCCAACCTGGCCTTCAACCCTTCCAGGGAGGGGGCATCCACAACTTCCTTGGGCAACCCGTTCCAGTGTCTGACCACCCTCACAGTGAAGAACTTCTTCCTGATATCTCAGCTAAACCTCCCCTCTTTCAGCTTAAACCCATTTCCCCTTGTTTTGTCATTAACTGCCCTTATGAAAAGTCCCTCCCCATCTTTCTTGTAGCCCCTTCAGGTACTGGGAGGCCGCTATAAGATCTCCTCGGAGCCTTCTCTTCTCCAGGCTGAACAGCCCCAACTCTCTCAGCCTGTCCTCACGGGAGAGGTGCTCCAGCCCTTGGATCATCCTGGTGGCCTCCTCTGGACTTGTTCTAGCTGCTCCAGGTCTCTCTTGTGATGGGGGCTCCAGAACTGGATGCAGTATTCCAGGTGGGGCCTTACGAGAGCAGAGTAGAGGGGCAGAATCACCTCCCTCGACCTGCTGCCCACGCTGCTCTTGATGCAGCCCAGATACCTGGATTTGGTCCTCTTGGAAGTGATCCTGATTCATATTGGCATTAATTAGAGTAATCCTGCTTCTCACGAAGTAGCTATTTGATGAAAGAGGAGGTTGGTGATTTGCATGATGAAGTCGTAACTGACGGCAGCAACACTGATGTGGAAACCTCCAGAAAAAAAAGTGTATGCTGTCCTTCCAGCTGAAGGGCTCTTCTCACCACTGTCACACTGCCAGGTAGTCAGAACAGTGTTTTTTAATTAGCATTTCTGAAAAAGGTGCTGGCTACTGGTCTTTCTGAGCGTGGCTGATTTTTCCTGTCTAAATTCTGACCCAAATGAGAAG